TCGGGCCGCGCATTCATGCGCTATTGGCCAGCTGCGTTTCCCCCATGTCCTCAGCTTAGCTTTTAGCCGTTGCTCGTATCTCTCGCTGCTTGTTCGGGCCGCGTCTTTGTGCGCTCCGGGCCCGTCGTGCTGCGTTCATCCGTTGTCCTCGGCGTGGCCGTTGGTCGTACCTCTCTTTTCCATCGGGCCGCGCCTTTTTGCGCTATGGGCCACTACTGCTGCCTTCCTGCTTTGTCCTCGGCGTGGCCTTCTTCTGCTTCTGTGTGCCGCACCTTTTTGCGGTTTGGCAAGTTAGTCATGCTGGATTTTTTGTTGTAAAAATTTTTACTCGGGCCGCGCCTCTGTACGCTATTGGTGTGTCTCGTGCATGCCTTTGCATGCTAGATATCCTCATCTTTTCGGTCGACTGGCATGTCATGCTGCGCTTCAGGTTTGCTCCGTGCCCCTCCTCCCGGTCTCTCGGAAGGGGAGTCACTTGTGTCTTTTTTGTGTCACTTGTGTCTTTCTTTTTTGTGCCACGTGTATTTTTTTTGTTCGGACAGTCTCGAACAACAGGCCCCGAGGTGGGACCTGAAATAGGAAACCCTCGACCCTCTCAAGTCGATGCCTCCAGATAGAAGGAAAACGTAAGCTTCAATTAAATCCGCAAGCCTAAAAAGAGTAAACCCAGGCCGAAGCCCGAAAGGAATAAACCCAGACCGAAACCCAATGAAAGCAGGCTCAAACCCTAGAAAGAGAAGAAAGGAAAAGGTATCCCCGAAAGAAAAAGCCGAACTCTGAAACCTAAACGGAGTAAAGCGACCCCGAAACCTTAAAAGAAGTAACATGTAAACTAGAAAGAAAACCGAAACCCTACAAGGAGTAAGCCCAGGCCGAAGCTCCAAAAGGAGTAACACCGGCCATAAACGGACCCTGAAACCCTAAAAGGAGAGTGGGGCAATGTCCTCGCTGCTGAAGACCCAAGTGAGCTCTACGGTGTGTCCATGGTTTTAGATGGTTCTTGTGATTCGGTTTTCCACTTGGGTCTTCTTCGCGTGACGTGACTACGAGCAACCTTGCCTGCCTGGTGCGAGTGTGAGAGTCGAAAAGGAGCACACCCAGGCCGAACCCCAAAAAGAAGTGTTCCTAGACCGAAACCCTAATGAAAGAAGGCCGAAGCCCTAGAAGGAGTAAACCCGGACCGAAACCTTAATGAAAAGCAATGTAAGTAAACCCACGCCGAAGCCCTTAAAGCAGCAAATCCAGATTGAAACCCGAAAATAAGAAGGTCCAATCCTTGAAAGGAGTAAACGGACTCCAAAACCCCAAAAGGAGTAAACCCAGGCCGAACCCCTAAAAGGAGTAAATCCAGACTGAAACCTTAAAATAACAAGGTCCAACCCATGAAAGGAGTAAACGGACCCTGAAGCACCAAAACAAACAAACCCAGGCCGGAGCCATAAAAAGAGCAAACCCCAGACCGGAGTGCTAAAATGAGAAGGCCCAATCCCTGAAAGGAGTAAACGGACCCCGAAAGCCCAAAAGCAGCAAACCCAGGCCGAAGCCGTAAAAGGAGTAAACCCAGACCGAAACCGTAATGAAAGAAGGCCCAATCCATGAAGGGAGTAAGTGGACCCCGAAACTTCAAAAGGAGTAAACCCAGGCCGAACCCCTAAAAGGAGCAAACATAGCGATGTTCCGGTAGCAAGCGCGGACTTTCATCAGCCATGCCAGCCTTGTGCGAGTGTGTGAGTCGAAAAGGAGCCGTAACCCTAATGAAAGAGGGCCCAAGCCGAAACCCCAAAAAAAAGCGGAGTAAACCGAGCCCGAAACCCAAAAAAAAGGAAAGGTAGGCTTGAATGATAAAAAGGATGAAGCACAGGCCGAAGCCCTAACAGGAGTAAACCCAGACCGAAACCTTAATGAAAGAAGGCCCAAACCCTGGAAGCTTTTTTGCCAGCCGTGGACGGCCAGAAAAAAGGGCTTTCACTCGAGACCGTTGTCTCGCAAGGAGTAGAAAGACACCAGTGACACAGGAATAAAAGCCACAGGTGACACAAGAAAAAAGACACAAGTGATGGGGCACCCGGTCTTTCCACCCCTGTTGTGGCTGCCCTTATCTCCGTTTGTGCTGTCTTTGTTTGGTTGCTCGGTTACCCCTCTCTCCCCTCTTTCCTCTCTTTCCCTCCCCTTCTCCCCTGTTCCCTGTCTCCACTTGTCCCGTCTCCGCTCTGACCTCTTCCCTGCCCCCCTCCCTCTCTCCCCTCTCTCCTCGCCTCGCTCTCTTTTTCTTGTTTCTTCTCTCTCCCCTCTCTCGCTCTCTCTCTGTCCCCTTTCTCCTCTCTCCTCCCTCTCCCCTTTTTCCTCTCTCTCCCTCTCTCCCCTCTCTCTCCGCTGCCCTCCCCCCCCTCTCCCCTCTCCCGTCTTTCCTCTCTCTCCTCGCCCCTCTCCCTTGGCCCTTTCTCCTCCCACGCCTTTCCCCTCTCCATTCTCTTCCCTCACTCCCAGTCTCCCCTGTTCACTTGGCACCTTGACTGCACTATTACCCGCCCCTTCAAACATTGGCGGAGGGCGGCCGTGACGTTTTCGGAGCTGCCCTGAGATGTGGGGCGGGGGCGGCGGCAACAGGTTTTCCTGGTTGCCAACACCACCACCACCACCACCACCAGTGCTTCGGCCGTTTGTGCGGAAAGGTCCCCAGTGCGACCTACACGCATGCCATATAAGCCTTGCTGTGCTGACTGTGATTTCTTGGCCATTCTTCACCTCGATGTTCGAACACAAGCCATAGCAGTGTGAGAGAGAGAATCATCTACATCGGCAGCCCGTCAGACAGTTGGAAGGCTGTTTCGTTGGGGCCTGGCTGTTTTGTCCTCCGTGCGACTTCTCTGCAACATTGCATGCCTTGGGCTTGCCAATTTACGGCACCAGGGTTTTGGATTCAGGGACTGAAACAAGATATTTGTTTGCTCGGCCAAGTTTTCCGTGCATGGTTTGACATTTGAGAGAATTGATCGGGCCGCATAAGGCGGCCTGCGCCACCCGCTGCCAACCATTCCGCACAATTTGCTGCGGAAGGATGCATGAGGTGAGTAGATACATTCTCCCAGTAGCGGAGGCCCCTGGTTCCGGAGCGGGGGACGCGCGTGAGTCTTGCGCTGCGAACCCTCAAGACCAGACATGAATAAGCAACCCCAGTTCCTGCATCCTTGAATTTATAGAGCGCTTCCTCATGGCATCCTATATAAGCCCGCATGGAGACAGTATCATGAGCATCATCAGGCCCCCATTCCCCCGTTCATTAAACACCACCCGTATAATAAAAACACATTTGGGCCAATCCTCCCGAAGTCATCCCTGCCCGTTAAAACCTAATGTGCATCAGGTGGATCCGGAGCAAGAGCAAGAGCAGGAGTAAGAGCAAGAGCAGCAGCAAGAGCAAGCAAGAACAAGAGGAGCAAGACGAAAAGCAAGAGCAAGAGCAGGAGTAAGAGCAAGTCATAGCAAGAGCAAAAGCAAGAGCAAGATCAGGAGGAAGAGCAAGAGCAGGAGCAAGAGCAGGAGTAAGAGCAAGAGCAAAAGCAAGAGTAAGAGCACGAGCAGAAGCAATGGCAAGAGCAGGAGCAAGAGCAAGCACAGGAGCGAGAGCAAAAGACGCAGCAGAAAAAGGAGCAAAAGCCAGCGTGGGCGCAAGAGCAACCAAGATCCCTCAAAAGTGATACGGTAGTACCGGTAGTAGAGATAAAAAAACCCACCCTCGTAATGTAAAGCATTTTCCGAGTTTTTTCCAGATTCCGGAGTGTCAGACACGACGGAATCTGGAAGCAGATGCACTGTGTACACATACGTCAATCTGCAGTTGCAAGACTGCAGAAGCTCCAAGGCGGCAAGGCGAGACTTGTAGTGGATCATCATGCTCCAACCCGAGATTCTCACCCAAAAGGCGCGAAACCGCCCCCCATATGATGCTCATGACGCTGGCCTACCTTTGCAGGGGGGGCATCGGAAGCACGGTTACACGTTTTTCTTTTCGATGGGCTTTGCGTTTTCGCCACGTGCGGGAAAGGGGTCCTGCCCATGCCACACAGTCACAAAGAGGTCAGGAAGGTACTGCTCACCACTGCACCGCAGCGGGGATCGCAGCGCATTGCACATCTGATCCGTGATATCCGGGAGCTTAGCCGATCTGAAGTTCCCAGACTTTCAGAGACCCAGGCTTGTGTTCGAGCTGCTGCAGCGGCCCCCGCGCTTTTGGCGGCTCCTCGGGCCTTTGTGACACGGAAGGGTGCCTGTGGAGCCTTCGGGGCGGACAGATGATACCTGCAATCTGGCATGTGCGGCGCTGCGCTTTCAAGTCCTTGGACCTTCGGTGTTTCGAGGTTTCTCCATCATGGCTCCATGTTGCTGGTGATCTGCCTGATGTGTGGAATTCCCTGGCTGTCGCTCTACGATCTGCTCCTCTTTTCTGCTGGAATGCTCCTCGGCGCGGTTGTTCGGCTGCCTCCCGCAGACAAAATGCGACTACAGATGTCGAATATGTCTTGAGGGAACGCGCACCTTCCACTGATTGATAGCGTGGACTCTGCCATAGATTTTCGAAGTATCTTCAACAAGTCCGGCTGTACCGGCACCGTGCATGCCACATGTTACCACCTAGTGCATTCCAGGTAGCATAATTTCTACAGCAGGATGCTGAGATAGCAACAGAGAAGGGGAGAGCCCAACCCCAGCCACTCCATACTGTAGGGGTTAGTTAGGATGGACGAAGGCTGGAGGGCCGCTAGCTGAGCGGGGGGGGGGGGGGGGGGGGAGAGTGGCAACTTTCAACACTCGGTGCTGTCCGATTACCCGGTCAAGCATCGGAAGGATGTTTATTTTTTGTTGCGGATCCACCAGTAGAACCAGTAGAAGGTGTTTTCGTTTCCGGTGAGATGCTGAGCACGAGGTTCAAGCATTGTTCGTGTGCACCGACTCGTCGCCGTCGTGTTTGCAATGTTTGCAAACGCTTCATCGAATCAACATGTTGCTTTGTGGACTTGAGATTCATGCTGAGATTCATGCGTTGTAGTCTTCGTGGCAACATTGGGGAATCATCGAGACCGGGGTGGCAAGTTTTGCACACAACAAATTCGGGTCGCCCAGACGGGCCGGAGAACAGTTTGCACGTGAATTGCCGCACAGTTGCTTTGTAAGTGAAGGCATGTGGTTCAGCAGCCGTCTGTAATCAGAATTGTGGTGTGGTTTTAACACTCAAGCCGGGATTCATGTCTGCACAGATTCGGCTCATAGAGGATGCAAGGCGTGTCGCGGTTGCACGTGCCCACTTACATTCAAGCGGAAGCACACCTGGATCTCCCCCGTTTTGCACTTTGCTTGGCTGTTTCCATCCTTCCAAGTGCACGGCCCTACCACTTTAAGCGAACGTTGTTCAACAAAGGGTGCTATTCCGATTGTTGCGGCAAGGGTGTTGATGTACTCATCTGGACCTGTCTCACTTGGGCAGACATCAGGCGAGCGCGTTTCATCGACTAGTGATGACTAGTGTCCAGTTTGCACCGACGCGAGAACCACAGCAAGCAATCGCTGGCGGTCGATCTGATTTTGTATGTACCCACCGCGAGGCTGTGTGCTAATGGGAATTACCATGGGATAAGTCCCTTGAGCAATTCGGACTACGACATGAAACGCAGCATCGAGCCGCTCTACCACGTGCCGAGATCGGTCGAGGGGCTTGTAAGCCTTCTGCGGCACCCCAAAATACCCCGAATCTTACGGAGAATTCCAGTTTGTTTGATCCTGCGTATCAGAAGCCGCTTGCACCACGAAGGAAAAGATGGGCTATCGCTGTCAGCCCGCTCTCGCGCCCAACAATGGGTAGTTAGGGTAGTTTTTGCAGGTCTCGCGAAAGACAGAGCGCCGATCTAGCGCGCCGCAGTGGCTAACACATGCGCAGATTTGGGGAGCTAGGCAGGGCTGCTGCTGTCGTTGTGCGAAGACGGTCGCGCATGCTCGTGGTATCTAGGCCCTGCGGAAAGTGCCGGTGTCAACCTTGCGGCTGCTTGTAAGGATGCTGCACATGAGCTTCCTGGCCTTCAACTGCCTAGCAACTCGGCAAAGCCACGCCGTCAGCTGTGCCACCGAGTTTTCTGAACTGGCAGACCACTCCCTAGTCATGAGGGGTCGGGGGTGTTTACTGTATTTGAAGGGATATGCCTCGGCTTTTGCTTCCCAGGAGTTCTTCGCCGTCTCTTGGCACTTCATGCGCCCCCATAACTCCCTCGCTCGGCCGCTTCTCAGAGGGTGCGCAGTTGTGGCAGCGCTGGCCAGCGTGCTGGGCCATGGGCCGCTGGCCTCGCATTCAGGGTCGAAGTCGAAGGTTGCAGGCTGGTTCAGTTTGGAGGTTTCTTGTTTCTGACGAGTCGGCTGCCGTGCTGCGATTGAAGTTGTGCTTCCTATGAACTTCTGGAACGGGTGCACGCCAGAGCATGTTCCCATCCGCACAGTAGCTTACCATTCACGAAAGTCAAGTGCGGCAAGGTGCGTGGTGCTCTTTTACTTGGCTTCCTTCCATCTCTACCAAGCATGGTCACCGCTCCTGGTTCTGATCTTCCTCCAGCTTTGCCTCGTCTGCGAGAACCTGCACAACGTCCACTACGTCTGGAACCTTGCGGCGCGCACGCAGACGTCGGAGACCGAGCTGCCGTCTCTTCACACCGAGCTGCCTACCATGTTGGGAAGCCACGGCTTGGCCGACGGCGGCTTCTTGGCTTTCGAGCGCTTTCGAGACTTTGGGTCTTTGTCGTGGGACAATGTCATGCTGGGTTCTGTTGCTTCCAAGCTCAGGATTCAGGGACGAGAAGCCACGGACGAGCCTGGCCATTCCGTGAAATGTGCTGAGCTCGGGCCATGCTGTGGCATGTCCTGGAGTTTTTGTTGGTAGGCCGCGTGGTCCGTATGACTCCGTGATCAGCTCATGTCTCAAATTGGGAACTTCAATACATTGATATAGGTCCCAAGCACGCACTTGGAAACCTGACATCAGTTCAGCCTTTTCAGTTTCGGGTGAGGTGTGTAATCCGATCCCACACGTGGATCTCTGCATTTGCATGATCATCGAATTCGCACAAGCCGCTCGCAATGACCGCGACCCGCACGAAGGCTGCATGTTCCTGTCTGCAGTCGTTGGGCATGCAGGACTTGATCTTTCTGCCCGTTGTGCTCCATGTGGAACGACGGTAATAATTAGGGCCCACCTCTCATGAGGTCGGGTTTTGCAGAAGAGAGACACAGAACCTTGAAGTGTCCTGAGCGATTATCCTGCGTGCTTTGAGCTTCTCATGTTCTCATGGCTTCGCCTTGTGCCGAGAGTCATCTTGTGCTCCATAAGGAGCCAGAGACCAATTTCTCATATGCCCGAGGCTGCGATGGGCTTTTAAGACATTCAGTCATCCAGGCCGCAGCCTGCCTCATGGCTGTTGTGGGTTGAGAGCCGAAATTGCTATCGTGTCACCACTCTTGATGATCGAGGGTGCCTGTCAACTGAAATTGCAGTTGTGAAGCTGCTTTCTGAGCCGGCAAAGGGTAGCAAGCGTGGAACAAGATTGCGGTGCTGAAAGCCGAAGCGTGGCAGTGTTTTCCGGGTGTGATGTGTGCGACATCGCCGCAGCAAGACGAGATGACCATGTTGATAGAATCTCGGTCTCCTGTGTGGACCCGTAGCCGAAGACCAGCGTTCGGATGGAAAAACAGAACGGGAACAACACTAGGCACAGATGTAAGAAGCGCGCATTGGTGCTTCGAGATTGTGCGGACCGGACGACAAGCCCAGAATGCTCGTGGCCTGTCCAGGAAAGCAATCTTTGACATGCCTGTCAAGTGCAGGAGTTTGCCGCCCACAGTTTTTTGAAGCTGACTTCCCTTAGCCCCTTAGCCTTAATTTTCACTCCGATAGCTGCCGTACCGGATTCGCCCAGGTGCGCGCTTTTCATGATTCTCAACCCACAACTGCGGCCTGCTCATAAACTCGGGTTTCGGACCGAATCTCGTGAACATCTGCTCGCCAGCTAGTCAGCGAGACATCATGCCGGGCAGCTGCCGCAGTGGCAGCAGGCGATTGTTGCGGGAGGACACCATCAGAAGCAGTCACTCTTCAGCCGCAAGAGCGCCGGCAGTGGACAGGTTTGCTCGATCCTAGCTTTTCTTTCATGCAGCCAGTCTTTTGTGCAGTTGCCGTGTGACCGTGGAGTCTAAGCGCGTGCGTGCAAGTTACCTTGACCGCATGCCTTTCCAGAACATGGCGAGCCTGGTGCAGGACCGCTAGCCTGACCTCAAGCTGCTTTTGAAGGCCCTGTTTGCGAGGGTCGAGTCTTGGACGTAGAGATACATGCAGGCCAGACGCAAGAGCCGTAGCAAGTCAGCAGTTTTCCACTCGGAGAAAGCATGAAGGCTTGATGCAGGAACATTTGGCATTATGCCACCATCTGCACTGTTGTGCTGGATGCTGTCTGCTGCTTCCAGGCTTGAGGTGTTTTGGTGATAGTTGGTTTTGTCGCACTTGAGGATCTGACAGGGTTTGGGGTTCGTGTCTTTTTTTCCATTACCATGGCTGCACAGCTGCATCTTGTGTTGCAGATCCTAGACAATCACGCATATCATTGTGTAAGACCGCTCTACACTTGGCGCAACGATGCGATACTATTCGTTCGGACATAGGGTGGCTGCCCGAGCCTGTGTGTGCGTGTGTGTGTGTGTGTG